TATATATATATTTTATTTTATTTTTTTTGTGCGGTTCAAGTTTCAGGGTTTCTGCCGATGCAAAGTTTCGGTTTGAAAGCTGTGAGCCGTTTCATGCAGGAGGAACCTGCAGAAAGCTGCAGGAAGGTTCAGTTCAGAGGAGACCAGCTTTGTTTTGGTCTGGATGTGTGGCAGAACACCGACACCTGAGGGCACCACACCCATACTGAAGCAGGGCAGCGGCAGAATCATGCTGTGGGGAGGCTTTTCTTTAGCAGGAGCAAGACGCTCATGAGAGCTGAAGGAAATGGAGCTGAATGTGGGACAGAAGGCCTGTTAATCCGTTCATTAATGTGAAGATTAATCTGTTAAACTTCAGAGTAAAAACGTTTGAGCAGAAACTCACATCCTGAAACACTGAGAGTGAAATCCTGGTAGGACACTGAGGATTCTCCCAAACCACATCTGTACCGACCCGAGTCAGACTCAGTCAGGCCTGAGATCTTCACGTAGAAGCTGTAAATGTTTGGTCCATGAACTTTGACATATTCAATGCCGTATCGTCCGTTTTCAGCTGAATTCTTTGTGGTTTCTATCAGAACGTTTCCTTCCTCACAGTTTTCCCTGCAGAAGATCTTCCTGCTTCCAGAGAAAGAAGAGCCACAATGTCCTGAGAAATCTTCTCCTGCTGATCCAGTAAACTGGTTCACTGCAGCAGGAATGCTGGAGATCTGCAGAGCTGCAGAGAAAAACAAGATCAGTGTCTGCTGAGAGAAACCACAAGATCTGCTTCAATTACCCATGAACTCTCTCCGACCTGCAGCAAAGTTTCCTTTAAGAAATGAAACCTGAACCACGCAGAGCAAGAAGGACCCAGAATGATGTTCAGTTCTTCATGAGCAGAAATGGAATCGACTAAAACTCACATCTGTCGTGTTTTTTTAAAGTTATGGTGACGAGAACAGCTTCAGCTCAAAGCCCTGCAGCTCATCATCAGAGATAAATACCAGAGGAAATGAGCAGAAAGCTGCTGCAATGGACAAGATTTTAAAGGACCTACTGTAGATCATTTCTAACAAATTTAATACATTTCAAGTAAAAACATAATACTAATGATTATTTATCTACATGTGGAGAGATGCTTCTCATTTCACAACAGAAACAAACTTCTTAGTTGGACTAAAATCTACCTGGAGTATGAATACTTCTGAGCTTCACTCTACAGCATATTAACATTACATGAAATATGACAAACACAAAACATGTTCATGGTGCAGAGTGGGAGGAAGTTTTCTCGACGTTTTGGACCAAATCAATACGATATGATGGGTCCCAGCAGAACCTTCAGATCCAACAAGTCCAGGGATGATCAGGCAAACCGATCGGTTCTGGAGATCCAGACCTGCAGGTAAACGTGGTGAGCCTCAGCTGAAAACAGCGATGAGTGGTGGAGACGTTAAAACCAGAAAAACGTTCATTTCCCTGCAGCTGATCGCTTCAGAGTCAGAAATCAAAAACTGGTTTTTGATTTCTGATACGACGGAAGGCAGAATTTATACTTAACATTTTTACATCAAAGTAGCAATAAAATATGTAGCAAATATGTAATTAAATGATAATTTAATTATTACACTTAATAAAAATACATTTTTTAATGTGTGAAGATGCATTTTGATGGATTTCAGCAGCTTTTATTTGTCTAGTTTAATAATATTTCCATTCTTTTAATTAAATATTTTTTTTTTACATTTTGTCAGAATTACCTGTAACATGATTAGCAGCGTTTCTTTGATCATTCTGGACCAACCTGCCACAGTTTGTTCATTTCAGATGAACTTGGAGGCAGTGGATGTTGACAGTGACTCATTTTTATGTTAAAAATCTGAGTTTCTAATAAACATTAGAATAAATCAGCAGCTTTCAGGGCTGATCTGGTTTTAAAATGGTGAATATATTAATAACGGGAGCTGAAGCCGTGGAGTCGAAGTGAACATAAAGGTTAATTATTAGAAACGGATGAAATGGAGATATTTCTGTCTGGAACTGATATCTAACTTTATTCTGGATTTCTTCATCAGACGACTTAAAAAAAACCTTAAAACTTGTTTTCTGTTAAACTTTAAATCCTGGAGTTTCAACATCCAGAGGGAATTCTGTTCTTCTTCAGCTGATTTTAAATATTTTAAAATCAGTTTTAACTTTGATTTTTATCTAATTTTTGGTCTTTTTGCATTTATTGATAAATGTTTCTGCTTTGCTGTCCAGCATTTTGACTTAATTTACATATTTTTGTTGCGGATAAAAAGCGTAGTTTGAAATTTAGGCCATCTCTTTCCGACTGCTAGGAATAAAATCCTTCCATGTTGTTTTAAACATCATCAGAACATCTGAAACGTTTTTGAGGTTTTAAAAAACGTTTTTTCAGTTGATGAATTTCATTTCATTTTTTTGGGAAACGGGAAATGATTTCAGTAACATTTATCTGAAATACACGCCTTCATAAAGGAGAAGTTATGGCTTCTTATTCGAAAACGAAAAGTAACTCTAACATTATTCTGAGTTCAGCTGCAGATTAATTTGTCGTCGGTTCAGTTTCATCTCAAATTAAAATCTTCAGACTGATAAAAGCGGTTTGAGCTGCTCCTCTGCAGAGCAGAGAGAAACGAGGATCTGCTCAAACCCGGATCACTGAAAGTGGTTTTATTGACGCTTCTGTGATCTTTATCTGAATCTGTCAGAAAGGAAAAGAAAACGTACTCACAGAGGAAAAAGAAGCAGATCAGAGCAACAGTCATGATGAATGGATTTCCTGCTGCTTCTTTTCTCATGTCTTGCTTTTTAAATCAAAGGTTAAACATGACGTGAACTTCCCTCCCCTTTTCTTCTGTCTGTATCACAGCTAATCCTGGCATCTGTTAACCCCTTGCTGCCTGGATTCACTTGGCTTTAACTTTGAACAAACAGAGCAGATCTTTGTGACATGACAACTGGGTAGTTGGTGGTGGCAGCATGGTCCTGTGTTACTTCAGTTCTGATGGATTGATTTTATTAGACTTTAGTTCATATTTTGAATCTTTGGTTCCTTCTGATTCTGGATGCTGGGCAGCCTGAAGGATTTTTGCTTTTAATTTTACTCCCACATAGTTATGATGCATATCAATGGTAAAAAGGTATCATTTCTATAACTGTAAAAACCTGGTTGGCATCTCCAAAGCTCAAATGATACCTGACCTTTGACCTCAAATTCCAGAGGCATTTAAATGGAGGCTTCATGGATGCAGATAGAGGAGGAGGAAGTTCAACTGTTTCACCGTTATCCCAGACTCCGTCTCATCGTTATCCCAGACTCTGTTTCACCGTTATCCCAGACTCCGTCTCATCGTTATCCCAGACTCCGTCTCATCGTTATCCCAGACTCCAACATCTCTCTTATCCCCGACTCCAGCATCTCTCTTATCCCAGACTCCAGCATCTCTCTTATCCCAGACTCTGTTTCACCGTTATCCCAGACTCCGTCTCATCGTTATCCCAGACTCTGTTTCATCGTTATCCCAGACTCCAGCGTCTCATCGTTATCCCAGACTCCAGCGTCTCACCGTTATCCCAGACTCCAGCGTCTCATCGTTATCCCAGACTCCGTTTCACCGTTATCCCAGACTCCGTCTCATCGTTATCCCAGACTCCGTCTCATCGTTATCCCAGACTCCAACGTCTCTCTGCCCAGACAGATATTTAAAGAGGAGCGGCGAAAGCAAAGGAGGTGGATTAGCAGAGCTAGCTAACACCTGGTGATGTCATCCAGGACATGTTGCTGAGGAATATTGTTACTGCTTCTGGATGCTGAGCTGTTAGCAAGTCATGAGGCTTCAGTCAGAGGCCTTTTCACACTCCACCAAAGACTGACTGCTACTGGAACCTTCCTGCTCACAGAGGATTTGAGTTAAGTCAGATTTATATAACATTTGCCCAACTCCCTCAAATGATCACATTTAACATGTTTTTTAAAATTATTTTATACATTTTAATTTAAAAATGTTTTTCTTCTTAATCAATCCAGATTTTTTTTAAAGTTCTCCAAATCAGATGTTTATATGTTTTTACGTCTCTAAACAAGTTCATGCATTTATAACAATAAAGTCCAAGCAGAGATGCACCATAAGGAATTATCTTATATTTAATCTGACATGCATGGAGATCAGGAACATGATCATCAGATTCAACAGATTTTCTTGGACTTGATTTGACCCATCATATACAGAATGGCCAGCAGAGGGCGTCATGGCTGACGGAAATGTCTGATCTGGTTTCTGGAGGTGACTGCTGGGTTCACCTGAGGTCAGCTGATTAAACTGGGAGAACATGGCCGTGGTTTTCAGCACCTACTGGGACCAGTAACTCACCAATTAATGTTTATTCTGTTCTGCTGCTTCATGTTTTAGCAGTGATTATATAAAACTGTCCTGTTT